TCTGGAGGTGCCCGCCGCGGTGCCCGGGTGTCCCGGCACCTGTCGCGGCGCGCGGGTACCCCGCCGCCTGTCGTGTCACCGCGCCGCCTGTGCCCGCAGGACGGCTTCGTGCAGAACGTGCACATCCCCAAGGTGCGCGTGGACCCCGACGGGCGCTGCGCCGTCATGCTCATCTACGGCACCCGCCTCGTGGTGCTGCCCTTCCGGCGCGACTCGCTGGCCGACGAGCACGAGGGCGGCCTGGGCGAGGGGTGAGTACCGCCAACGCCGCTACCGCCAACACCCGCCGGTACCACCGGTGACACCGCGCGCTCCTCCCGCAGGCAGAAGTCCAGCTTCCTGCCCAGCTACATCATCGACGTGCGCGAGCTGGACGAGAAGCTCCTCAACATCATCGACCTGCAGTTCCTCTACGGCTACTACGAGCCCACCCTCCTCATCCTCTTCGAGCCCAACCAGACGTGGCCGGGGTGAGGAGCGGGCGCGGGAGCCGCCGCCGGGGCGGTCGTGGCGGTTGTTGTGACGTTGTGGCTGTTGCCCACGTTGTGGTTGCAGGCGGGTGGCCGTGCGGCAGGACACGTGCAGCATCGTGGCCATCTCGCTGAACATCATGCAGAAGGTGCATCCCGTCATCTGGTCCCTCAGCAACCTGCCCTTCGACTGCACGCAGGCGCTCGCCGTGCCCAAGCCCATCGGTGAGGGCGCCGGGACCGGGGCTGTGACTGTTGGCTGCGGCCATGGCCGTGACCAGGGCCATGACCATGGCCATGGCCGCAACTGTGATCACAACCGTGGCTGTAAACATGACCATTGACCGTGGCCAYGACCATTGGCCGTGACCATGACTGTTGGCCATGACAGTGACTATGGCCGTTGACTGTGGGCATTGACTGTTGCCGTTGGCCATGGCCATGACCATGATAGTGACTATGACTGTGACCGTTGACCATGGCCGTGACCGTTGACCATGGCCCTGATGGTGACCACAGCCATGGTCGCAACCATGACGCAACTGTGACCGTAAACATGACTGTTGACCGGGACCATGACCGTGACCGTAAACATTGACCATTGACCGTGGCCATGACCGCTGGCCATGACCATGGCCGTGACCGTTGACCATGATTGTGACTGTTGGCCGTGACCGTGACCATGGTCGTTGACTGTGGCCATTGACCATGGCCGTGACCGTGACCATGACCGTGAGTGTTGACCATGGCCATGACCGTTGACCATGGCCCTGATGGTGACCACAGCCATGGTCGCAACCATGACGCAACCGTGACCATAAACATGATTGTTGACCGGGGCCATGACCGTGGCCATAAACATGACCATTGACCGTGGCCATGACCATTGGCCGTGACCATGGCCGTGACCGTTGACCATGATTGTGACTGTTGGCCGTGACTGTGACCATGGTCGTTGAGTGTGGGCATTGACCATGGCCATGACGGTGACCATGACCGTGACTGTTGATTATGGCCATGACCGTTGACCATGGCCCTGATGGCGACCACAACCATGGCCGCAACCATGACGCAACCGTGGCCGTAAACGTGACTGTTGGCCATGGCCATGACCGTTGGCCATGACCATGATTGTTGGCCATGATGGTGACCATGACCATGACTGTTGACCATGGCCGTGACCGTTGGCCAGGGCCCTGATGGTGACCACGACCATGGCTGCGACCATGACGCAACTGTGGCCGTAACCATGACTGTTRGCCATGGCCATGACCGTTGGCCATGGCCATGACTKTTGGCCATGATGGTGACCATGGTCGTGACYGTTGACTGTGGTCGTTGACCATGACGGTGACCATGGCTGTTGACTGTGGCTGTTGACCGTGATGGTGACYGTGGTTGTGAGGGTGACCATGACCACTGACTGGGGCTGTGCCCACTGATTATGGCCATGACCGTGGTCATTGACTGTTGGCCGTGACCGTTGACCACGGCCATGACCATTGACTGTGGCCATGGCCATGGCCGTTGACCGTGGCCATGATAGTGACCGTGACTGTGATGGTAGCCGTGACTGTTGACTGAGACTGTGCCCGTTGACCATAGCCATTACCGTGGCAATTGACTGTTGGCCATGACCATTGACTGTGACCATGACCATGACCGTGACCATGATGGTGGCCGTGACCATTGACTGGGGCTGTGCCCGTTGACCGTGGCCATGACCGTGCCCGTTGACTGTTGGCCGTGACCATTGACTGTGATCATGACCATGTCTGTTGACCATGGCCGTGACGGTGACCGTGACGGTGGCCGTGACCATTGACTGGGGCTGTGCCTGTTGACCACGGCCATGACCGTGGCCGTTGACTGTTGGCCATGACCGTTGACTGTGACCATGACCATGTCCGTTGACCATGGCCGTGACGGTGACCGTGACGGTGGCCGTGACCATTGACTGGGGCTGTGCCCGTTGACCACGGCCATGACCGTGGCCATTGACTATTGGCCGTGACCGTTGACCACGGCCATGACCATTGACTGTGGCCATGACCATGACCGTTGACCGTGGCCATGACGGTGACCGTGACCGTGACGGTGGCCATGACCATTGACTGGGGCTGTGCCCGTTGACCGTGGCCATGACCGTGGCCATTGACTGTTGGCCATGACCATTGACTGTGACCATGACCATGGCCGTTGACCGTGGCCGTGATGGTGACCGTGGCTGTGACCATTGACCATGGCCATGAACATGACGGTGACCATGACTGCAGCTGTGACGGTGGCTGTGACCGAGGGCTGTGGCCGCGACCAGGGCTGTGACCGTGGCCGCGACCAGGGCCATCACCGTGGCCATGACCATGGTTGTGACCGTGGCTATGACTGAGGCCACGACCGGGACCATGACCAGGGCCGTGACCTTGACCATGGCCGTGACCGTGACCACCGCCATGGCCGTGTCGGTGACGGTGACGGCGCTCCCCGCAGGCGGCGTGGTGATCTTCGCGGTGAACTCGCTGCTCTACCTGAACCAGAGCGTGCCGCCCTACGGCGTCTCGCTCAACAGCCTCACCAGCGGCACCACCGTCTTCCCGCTGCGTAAGCCGGGGGCTCGGGAGGGGCCCGGGGGGGTCACGCTCAGCTCACACTCAGCTCACGGTGCTCACGCTCAGCTCACGCTCAGCTCACACTCAGCTCACACTCAGCTCACGGTGCTCACGCTCAGCTCACACTCAGCTCACGGTGCTCATGCTCAGCTCACGGTGCTCATGCTCAGCTCACACACAGCTCACACTCACACTCAGCTCCCCCTCAGCTCCCACTCAGCTCATAGCGCTCGCACTCAGCTCCCCCTCCGCTCCTCAGCTCCCACTCAGGTCCCACTCAGCTCATAGTGCTTGCACTCAGCTCCTCCTCCGCTCCCGCTCACACTCAGCCCACACTTTCCCTCAGCTCCCACTCGCACTCAGGACCCACTCACACACAGCTCACACTCACACTCAGCTCTCCCTCAGCTCCCACTCAGCTCATAGTGCTTGCACTCAGCTCCCCATCAACTCCCACTCCCCCTCAGCTCCCACTTGCGCTCAGCTTCCACTCGCACTCAGGACCCACTCGCACACAGCTCACACTCACACTCAGCTCCCCCTCAGCTCCCACTCAGTCCACACTTCCCCTCAACTCCCACTCGCGCTCAGCTCCCACTCACACTCAGGACCCACTCACACACAGCTCACACTCACACTCAGGACCCACTCACACACAGCTCACACTCACACTCAGCTCCTCCTCAGCCTCCACTCAGGTCCTACTCAGCTCATAGTGCTTGCACTCAGCTCCCCCTCAGCTCCCACTCGCGCTCCACTCCCACTCACACACAAGACCCACTCGCACTCAGGACCCACTCACACTCGGGACCCACTCACACACAGCTCCCACTCCCCCTCAGCTCCCACTCGCGCTCCGCTCCCACTCACACTCAGCCCCCACTCACACTCGGGACTCACACACAGCTCCCACTTGTGCTCCGCTCCCACTCACACTCAGAATCTGCTCACACTCGGGACCCACTCACACACAGCTCCCACTCGCGCTCCGCTCCCACTCACACTCAGC